GGCGAAGAGCAGTTTCCAGCTGCAACTCCCAAACAAGCAGAAGAAAGACCTTGAGCTTAAACATGCCAAAACGTGAACACCACGAGCCGATGCAAATCCTCAATGCTTTTGGGGGCGCAGAGCTCCCAGCCCGCTCCGCGGCTGCGACGATGTAGCGCTCGCGTGCCTGACTTCTCTTGGGCTTCCAGCTCGCATGGAAAAAAACCGCTGTCTGAGCAAACTTCCAATCCCTGCGAGCTTTGGTGCAGTTATCACAGAACAGAACACCATGCATGTCTAAGCCTATAAGCAGCAAACTAGGGGCCGCAAGAAACAACCTCGAGTAGAGCTGCTGATTTCACAGAAAGCCGAAGATTGAATCGACACTCAAACGCTCTCCTCACAGTGACAAATGCCGAGGGTCTCCGTGTCCATCCCAGTGAGCACGTGCCATGTTTCGGACAGCCCCAGTAAGGCAGCGGCGAGGTCCACCTCAGTGCCAGCGAGGTGCAGGCCACGACAGTACTACAGCGCCAGTCATGCACACGGGTTGCAGGAAGTTTCAACGGGTGTCCCATAGGCTATTGGTAGGTGCACCTCGGTCTCCAGTCGGGAGGGCACGCATCCCCTCTCAAGAATGCTTCTTGAGGCTCCGGCGACAGTGCCTGTATATCTCAGCGCGACGATCATGAGCAGTACTGATACCGCGCCAACCCAGGACCTGAAGGAGGGGAGCCGTCACTGAGAGGTCAAGTTGCGGCTTTGCCTGTGCGATCCTTCTCAAGTCGATTTCGTAGGTGTCCGTAATGGCACTCCTCTGTGTAAGCCCACCGCAAACCCATCTGGGAGATATCCACCGGGGCTGTGACAGTACCACGCAAGCTGCAGCCCCGGCCGCAAGTTGCACCTCGAGCTCGCAGACCGAGCATGCTCGCCAGTTCTTTGAGATGCAAGGCAGACTGTGTCATGCTTCCTGGAAGCTGGAACAGAAGCTATGGCAGTGCGCTAGTCCAAACTGCAACATCCCAGGCCAGCCTTGCTGGTTCCGAGACCCCTGGCGTCAGATGACAGTCTTGGGAAAGCTTTCATTGATAGGGGGCGATGGGACTGAACAGGAAGCAATCACGTGCAAAAGGCATCAAAGGGTCAGTGGCAGACTGCCCAGGCACCCGCTCGAAAGCGAGTCAAACCGTCAACAACCCTAAGCCGCACAAACAGCGGCCTGTTAGAGCCTGAGTAGTAATCCGCTCTGTTGCCGGGCTGCGCCTGCTGTTCTTGGAATCCCCGGATCGCTGGGATCGTCTGGAGCCCATTGAGAGGAGGGACTGCATGGAGCCACCTCCGCCCGGCTTCGACTTTTTTCCCAGTCTTCATAGTGCATACAGGTAGCATCGGAAAGCCAAGGATACTTTCCGCAACACAATGCAAACCTGCTACTATCGATCGAAGAACGCACACGAGCTGCGACCATATGTGAGACTCTGATGGCACACGACCGAGATGGACGATAGAAGCAATACAAACGATGGGCATGATATCTGCACTGCATTCTGAGAACGGGCTCCTGCTCTGAAATACGAGTCATACGACAGTATAACCAAAGCCGGAACTTCAATAGCAGCAACATCATGGCTGGTAGTGCTCAAAACTCATGAGCCTTAAAAACTTGCAACTTTTTGACACTGAGACTATTCAAAACACATGCCATCATCCTCATCATCTGCCACCATAACGAAACCGCAATGGAATATTACAAACACTAGTAGGCAAGGCGCACCGTGGCATGATAATGGCAATATCACGACAACGAAGATTATGATTAGCAATACTATCCGCTCCCTCGCATCTCATCTTGGCCACCTCGTTTGAGCACAGCTCTCGCCATCTTCTTCTGCTCCTGCCGTGTTGGAAACTCTCGTTATGCACATGCGGGATGCGCGTCGCGGGTCGGCCGTCGGGTCCTTCTCCACAGAGTTCAGGGATTGTCGCCGCTCCCCATTGGGGCCCGGGGCCTGGTGGCAGGGAGAAAGACGGCAAGAAAGGCCCAACGAGAGGCTTGAAGATGAATGGGCACTGTCAAGCGAAGCAGCTGGAAGGGAAGAGGGCAACAGAACCCCTTATCGGGGCTTGCTGGCGTGCACTCGCGGCTATCACTCTTTTTCTCTTAGACCTGGGAGCATTGAGGTAGCATTGTCGGCCCAGGCCTTTTGGTGGGGGTGTTTCTCGGGCAGCCATGAGGAATATGCTGCGGGTAGTTGCTTTCTTTCTCCTTTGTTCTTTTCTGCCTCTTCCTCTGTCAGCTTTCAGTCTCCGTTGCCTCTGAGGTTATGCAGGGCAGGGAACTCTGACCATGCGGCGGGGCCTGACTCCCTTCCATTTCCACGAGCAAAGCTTCTGAGTCTGCGGGCGGGGAACATTTTCCATTTTGCAGGTCTGTTCGGAGCTGGGCTTCCGAGCTGCGAGCCTCGAACACGGTCCCCACTACATCAAGAACGCCACAAGTCAGATGCGCCTCACTTTTGGAAGGCATGGCTTACCTCTGGGCCACAGCCCCCCTTTGGCTTTGCCAGCACTGGCCGGATGAGAAATACTCTGTGCCCAACTATGGCATGCTCCTGCTAGTTTGGGGAACATATGGTAGTATAGTAGGTGAGCATAGGTACAACGGTATAACGCTTATTTACTTGGCGTTGCACCAGGTACCCATCAAGTCAGCCTACTTCAGCTTTCTTGCAGAGTCTCTCGGTTGGGTTGTATGGTTGAGCTGTGAAAGTCTGCTTCTGAAAGAGTGGGCTCCGGGGAAGGTGTCCGTGGGGGTCTGGCACCATATGTCTTGGCTTTCCTTGCAGAGCCAAATTCCGCCTTCCTAACAGACAAGGCAGGTTGCACAAGTTCACGGTTTACTTAACAGCAGCCACTTCCATTCGCCCCCATGACATAAGGCTGAGATGATGAGAGCCGTAACAAGAAGTGCAGCTGCACCTGAGAAGAGGCTCCGATGAGAAAAGGAACCAGCTTTCGCTCATGATTCCCCGAGGCTTCTCCGGAAGATTGCGTCAGTTTTCTGCAAGACGCGAGGGGAGGAGGTTCCTGCACTGACGGTCATGTGCCACTAGAAGGTGAGACATTGGCAACTGTGGCGAGTGGAAAGTATGTACAAGCAAGCGTCCGAAGACGGGCGCACTCAGTCGTTGTGAATATGGTCGATCTTCTTCGCAATGGCCTGGGAAGTCCACGTGTTAGACCAAGCAGGACTCAAGTGGATTCAAAATACGCTGACCAGCCGACCTGACGAAGAGACGGGACGGGAAACAAAAGACCGGACGAGGAGACGCCGGCCAGGCCCCGGACCCCCGCGAGCTTCACCTCAGCTCAGGAACTCGAAGTCATAGCACCCGTCGCTAGGCTAAGCAGCTAAGGAAGGCCTTATAAGTCAGCCGCAGTTCAGGGCCTCTAAAGTCGCAGCTGTGACTGCGTCTGCTGCCGCCACGCTGCGAGTTGAACGTCCGCAGCGCGCTTCTGCTCTGGCGGGCCTGTTCTCGACTCAGCCGATTCCACAAAGGGTTGCACTGCACAAAACGAAGAGAGCGGTTTGCCCGGGGGCTCCGACTTGCATCCTCTTCTTCGGACTCATCGGAATCGTCCTTATCACCTCGATCTCACGATCGAAGGGCGCAGCATTGCCGCGCAGAGCCACCAACGGTGATGGATGCAACATTCCGCCGCTAAATCTCTGCCGCGCGGTCAGCCATCCCACATTCCATGTCGCCAGAAGCACCACCCAGCTGAGTGCCGGACAGCCCAGTGCCATGAAAGCCTTCTGGACCCAAGCTCCTGTCCTCTTCAACGCGTGCATGCGCTTCTTGAACAAAGGGACCGAGTCTCCATATCTGAGTTGTACTTGATGGAGCAAAGAAGATTACGCATGAACCCCAAAACTACCACCATCTACAATCTGGCAGAGAATGTCATGTCAAACTCAAAGTGGAGTGTACAATGCCTTTGATGCTTGGCTGGCCCACTAAACGAACATGATGGGTCGTGCTCATCATCGGTTTGCCTCCGCCCCCCCCCAGTGGTCCCAGTCCCAGAGGAGGTGCGTGCAGGCAACAGCAAGCCTTGGCCCTGGCAATCCTTCACAAAAACCGACTATAGACTGTAACTGCAGGAGTCGAGAGACCTCGTCCAACATCCAAAACGAATCCCCCTTCTCAAAGCAGCTCTCAACTGCAACGTTGTGCGCCTCGCAGGCTTCCGCTTCGGTGCAGACGAGGACGCGGCGGACGCGGCGGACTTGGCGGAAGCCTTGGGAGCTCGGCGCCCGGAGCCCGGCGCCTGGACACCGACTGGCCGCGGGGCGGGGCTGGGCTTTCGGAAACTTCATCCCCGGCCTTCTTCTGCTCCAAAGAAAGGATCGCCGCCTCGTCCCGGCGAAGATCACGCATCCGAGCGATGAGTCTCGCTTCTCTCATTCTCGCTGATTCTCGCTTGCCGCTACCCGCAACCATGCAACCGGTGCAGTGGCAGACACCAGTCCGTAAGGCCGCTCCGCATTAGAAGCCGCCCCCGGTCCCTCACCAGTCTGCTTCATGTCATGTCCTTTCAGTGGGAGACTCAGCAGACGTCCTGGCGGCCTACCGAAACTATAGGAAGCCTGGGCTTGCACACATCTTGACACGGGGTCGTTTTTGCTATCTAGTCTGGCAGCTTTTTGCATTGAAGCCCACATGTGCCTGTGACTTGTGCAAGATGGTCGGGAAGAATCTCTAATCATACCTGTGGTGAAAACAAAGGCAGCTGTAGAATCTGTTGCAATCCCTCCCGATCTTGCATCCGGGCTCTCCTCTCTCTATATATATATGTATAATAGAACCATATATATATACACACATACATATACGTGTACATATGCATGCATGATGGCATGGATGGATGTCTGTGTGTATGTATGTATGCATGTATCTAGGGCCCGCATTGCTCCCATCAGCGGGAGAAGATCGAAGAGCCCCAGAACCCCTTAGGTGCCCTTCGGGGCGGGGTTCGACATGTCATGGAGCTGCTGCTGCTGAGGGCCTGTGGCACCGTGCAGCAGAATCCGCACATGCGTGCCTTGGTGAGCGGCGCCGACTCAACGGTTGAGCAGAAGGAGAAGTACAGGCCCCAGGTGCCAAGTGCGTGTGCACCCCAGGCACGGAGTGCAAGTCTGCCTCGACCAATCTTCGTGAGGCTAGCTTTGGGGATGCTCCTGGAGCGCTTTGGCCCAGTGAACGTTCAGTGCGGCGTGATGTCCTTCGAAGCTTTCTGGGTGGCGCTGGTGGCCGCCATTACGGCTCCGCGGAACTACGTACACGCTGCACATGATCTGCTTCTTCATAGGCTGCGCTGGCGCCACGTTCGTGACCAATCAGTTCTGGTGCTCGCAGACGTTTGCCCCGAACGTGTGGCCGGTTGGGGCAGTCTTGGAGGTGG